GCATCATTCAGTTCTATCCACTTTGAGTATGTTGGTCCCAGTTTTGACAAATGGACTAAGAAAACTGATAATTAACAACACCTAACAAATATATAACCCCAATTAATGGGGGTTGTTTTGCATTTTTTCAGCATCATTAATTTGTGCATGCATGTGTTTGACCAATCCCTTGCCCCACCTTAAAAGTGAATTTTTAAAAATGCTTCCAGGCTATTAAGAAAAGTTTAGGTAGAGTAAATGCATTGCCCCACTGGAGGAATAGAGAAGTATCCATATCCCAGTTGTGAAGAGTGATGGTTACTAGCAGCTCACTGCTGTACCGTTCCTTTGAGGAGAAAGCCTTCTTCACTTGGGACTACCCTCCACCCAGGCAGAAAGCAGTCAAAGATCTACTGACATAAGGAATACAAAATATTCTCCTTTCCTGCCACCTACCTTCCTCCCCGCAAATATACACACACTGCAAAGGTGAATTTAGATCTGACATCCAGAGCTTCCTATGGGACCAAGCTCCCACCATTTTCAGTTAAACACACATCCTTGCTTAGCTTTCTTTCCTTGCCCTCTCCTGTCTCCTTCCTTCCTCTTCTCCTAAGGGTACTCCCTCAATAAATCACTTTTATAAGAATATTTTCCTTAGGTTTTCTTTTTAAGAAACCCAAGTCAAGATGGATATTCCTAGAAAGCAGAGACCAAGATGGGCCTCTGGAGTTGAATGGCAATAAGGCCCCATCCCTGGAAGTACAGCATTGTTAGTCCCTGACATTTTATAGCAGTAGGATTGTTAAGATCAGAGGTCAGCAAACTATGGCCCATGGACCGAAATCCAATTTACTTGTTTTATAAATAAATTTTTATTGGAATACTGTCAATTGTGAATTTTTCAGACAGAATTGAAGATTAGAGAGAGAAACCATGTATTCTACAAAGCCTAAAACATTTACCACCTGCCTTTTACAGAAAAAGTGCTGGTCTAGGGTTTTACCTCATGATAATGCACTTGCCTAGCATGTATGAGGCACTGCGTTTGATCCTCAGCACAACATAAAAATAAACAAATAAAATAAAGGTATTGTGTCTATCTACAACTAAAAACTAAAAGAAAAAGAAAAAGAAAAGCTTGCTAAAATTTTCACCCATGATTTTACACTGGGTTGAGATACAGGCGGAAGGGGACACAGTGGCTGATTCAAGGTCTCTGGCTTTGAGAGACATGGAGAAATTAAAACTCTCAAAAAGTCTTTAGGTTTGGTTGGTTCTTACCAAATATCCTTGACACATTGAAGAGATAAAGTGATAGGCTCTATTAGTTATCTACTGCTCTATGTCAGATTATCACAAAATTAACTGCTTTAAACAGCACATGATTATCATCTCCCTCTTTCTAAGTATTCTAGCAATAGCTTAGCTGGGTCCTCTGCTTTTGTGATTTTTATAGGGTTAAAATCAAGGTGTCATTAAAGACTGGGGTCTCATCATAAGACTTAACTGGGGGGCTGGGGATGTGGCTCAAGCAGTAGTGCGCTCGCCTGGCATGCATGTGGCCCGGGTTCGATCCTCAGCACCACATACAAACAAAGATGTTGTGTCCGCCGAGAACTAAAATAAATAAATATTAAAATTCTCTCACTCTCTCTTTAAAAAAAAAAAAAGACTTAACTGGGGAAGGATCCTCTTTCAAACTCATGTTATTGTTGACAGGATACAGTTCCTTCTGAGTTGTTGGCCTTTGCCACACGGCGGATTAATTAATCATAGCCAGCGAGAAAGGGATTCTGCTAGCAAGAAGGATGTGACAATTTTATGTAGGGTAATCTAAAAATAAAATCCCATTTTTTTTTTTTTTACAAATTCTGTTGGTGAAAAATAAGTCAAAAGACAATGACCATTCTCAAGGGAGTGGACTATACAATGTCACAAATATTAGGAGGCAGTTTTCATCAGGAACCATCCCAGAGTCAGCCTGCCACACAGACTCAGATCTATTTTTCAGAATGTAAAGCAAAATGTGACGGTCAGAAATAATCATTAGCAGCAGGTGAAGAGACTCATTTTAGCAAGGCACAGTGGTGCGCACCTGTAATCCCAAGCGAGGCAGGGGGCTGAGGCAGGATGATTGCAATTGTGGGGTCAGCCTGGTCAATTTAGAGACCCTGTCACACAATGAAAAATAAAAAGAGCTGGAGTGGGTGTAGCTCGTTGGGTTTAATTCCCAGTACCACAGGTAATTAATTAATTAATTAAAAGAGAGACTCATTTCTTTTAGGTGAGAGGGCAGATTTGAAGATCAGGCTAAAGTCCTATTTGTGGAAGTGAGAGAACTTTAAAGAAAAGTGAAATTCTCAGCCTATGTCTTCTATGCCAAATTTAAGACCCCGAAAGAAAAAGAATAAGGAGGAAAAAAGAAGAAAGAAAAAAGAAAAAGAGTAGGACACTTAGGTATGAGATAGAGCTATCTTCGTAGATAAGAATCTTAAATTTGCATATTCCCCTGAACACATTTGGTTCACAGAAGTGGTTTATAAGCCCCTTCAGTTCTCCCATGAAGCTCCTCTTTCACCATGTTGAACCCAGGTGAGTAGCATGTGTCTGTAATCCCGGAGACTCAGGAGAATGACTGACACAAAAAAGTCACTATATTGGCAGAGTATCTGACATGATTGTCATAAGAAGGCAGAAATGCAGCTACATGGTAGAGTCAGGGAGCCATGTGTTGGGCACTCAGGTGACGAGTTGGGCCATATCTTGCTATTCCTATGCCTTGCTTAACTAATGAGTAAGTCTAATAACACATCCTGATTAGGACATGGTAAGCAGGTGTTCAGACTCCCTAACAGATGAGAATTTGGTTTCTTCCTTCTAGGCAATCCACCAAGACCCGCAGAAGTACTAGATGTTAAGGAGGAACATCTAGAAGGGGAGGAAAGGTACATGATGAATATGTTGTGGCCATTGGAGAAACCTGTATCTGGGAAGATGCAGTGTGTTCTAGTCACACTGACCCTATGCATTCCCTGCTCCCACCCCCACGCCAATGAATCAAATTTCCAAAGCAGTTGTGGCTAGATGCAGTAAACTCAATGTAAGAAGCAACTGCACCTGAACCAGGTAAGGGATGGACAACAGCATCCAAATCCCCAGCTGCTGCTAGTGTTTGACTGCTAACAACTCAGGATTACTCTCTTTCCAAAGATTTGGGCTCAGCTGAACACAGTCAATACAACCTGAGAATCCTTCTTTCTGAGATAAGAAGAGCTAACCCCAGGATACGATATATGTTCCATAGCTCCATAAGGGACCTGGCAAGGCTAACCCAGTTTTCAGCATTGACCACATCCTTCTAAGCTATCTTCTTCTGCTCCTCTTGCTCCTTCTTTCCTGAAAGCATTCCCTTAATAAATTATTTTTTAGAAGAATTTTACTTTCTAGACCGGCTTTTAGTGTTTGTGACTTAAGCATTCTTTTCTTATTAGTAACTATACTGGAAAAGTGTTTTGTCTAACTATGTCACTCTAATCCAAACCTGATAGATAGTATGCATACTAAAGATTGTATGAATTGAGGTTGCCAGTTTTTTTTTTTTTGTCTCTTGTCTCCTAAATATCTCTTTAGTTGATTACCACAGCAAAGGCATTCACTGATTTCCAATTCTCAACCTCACTATAACTGATGAGAATTATTTTATTCTTATCACCCTCCAAGCCATCTTCTTTACTGATGCCAGCCAATTTTTAAAACATGTAATTCCTGTGCTTCAACATCTTGGTGATTCTCCATTGCTTCCTGGATGAAGACTCTACAAGGCTTTGTTCACTGGGCTGTGATTTGGAGCGGAATCATGGTAGACTCTTCCTCCTACCACACAGCTTGTGCACCACGTGCTTCAGTTCTCCTTAACAATTGCTTATTCCCTGGATTAGACACACTCTTGCTGGAATCCATACTATTTCTTTTGCCTGGAATGGCTCCTCCTTCCATTTCACAACCTCCTGATACTAGAAGACATGGCTAATATATCAACTTTTCTGTGACACTGTTATTTACCAACCCAGCACTGCTTTCCAAACTCCAGGAAAAATTAACCTTTCTCTGTGTTCCTACAGTGCTAAGCCCATATCTGTGTTATGATCTTGTCATATTTTTTGCTATTATTTATCAATGTGTCTTTTCCACGAGTTTGAAAATTTTCAAGAGCCGTGTGATCTGTCTTCCTATCTCCAATACCTATCACGTGACTTCACGTGGTATTTTCATAAAGATGTATATTAATTGATGAAGAACTTGTTCTTAGGTAGCTTCATAGCTTGACAAGTTGGTTGGGTCTGTCTTCTGGCTCACACAGTCATTTCCCTCTTATTGGAGATTTTGAAACGGAAGAGCCTTTGGACAGCCTTCTATCCATCTGCATCTCATGACTGCTCTTACTTGCAGCCCACCATTCCATAGGTTTGTATACTTTATCTCCTATACCTTCATATGCTTTCACACTTCCTGTGATTTGTAACAAACAAGTTGAGAAAAAACCTGCAAGTAGCAATAACAGACCTGACGCTGAGCTCAGTGACATAAACGTGACCTTTCATTTCCCCTCTTCTTAAAGATAGGAAGGAATAAGGAGAAAGAGAGAAACTGTTTTACAAGCAGGTAAATACATTACCCGCCCCAATATAGTCGCTCCGGATGCCAGTTTAATTGGGCAATGTTTCGAAATTCATCTATAAGCAGAGTCTTTTCAGCTTTTTCTATTTTTTTAAATTGTTTATTTATGTTTTTAACATTTTTGCAGGTCTGGATTGTGGATCTGGCTTCTGGAAGCTCAAATAAACATACTAAAGAATAATCCCCAGCATATTATTAGAAATTATATTAGTGATCCTGGATTAGACCAGGAGGTAAAATGATAATAAAAGTTTCTGCACTAAAGGAAACCTGATGGTTAATGTGGCATAAAACCTGGTTATGAGAATCTGACCTGATAATATTCATTTTTTTCCCCGTCAGCCACATTCTCAGCTCGGCTTCTCCATCTCCCTCTGACTTCAAAGGAATTGCTGCATGAAGAGGGAAGGCACAATAGAATCAGGCTGATTATCCCCTCTGTTTGGAAATGGGTAAAGATTATACATACGTTTTCTTCTTTCTGTGTGTTGGACTATATAATCTCAATTACTGCAAGCAACCCCCATCCCCAGGCTTGTGCATAAACTTGGATTATTCAAAAATCGCATAAAATTGGAAACAAGATATTAATAATAATCCATAATGGTGCGACATAATGGAAAACATGCTTATTTTCATTGGCTTTAGCTAGTACCATAAAAAAAGTGTAAATTAGTTTAGAGACTTAAATTTTATATTTATTATACATTGACCTTTTTGTTCTTCCCTCACCACTTTATGTTATGAATGAGTTAATTAAAAAGGGTATACTTGTTTTCTGTTCTGCTACAGTACGGTTTTTCCCTTTAAAAAGTGTTTGGGTGTTAGTGATTGTGTGTGTGTGTCCACACAAGCATTGATTATCTTAACCAAAGCTTGAAAATAAAATTGTAATGCTAAAGGCCAAAGAAATGAATTAGTCTGACCTGGTAATTAAAAGGCCACATATTAACCAGGAACCACTGTTGGACTTTTCTTTCTCAACCCAAAATGAAAAGGCAAGCACTGTAATCCTACATCACCTCTGGAAATGATGCCAGGAAATGTTTTCTCAGAGTCAGCTACTGGTCAAGACTTACATCAAGTTAAACAAAATAATGAAGGATCAGGGATTCTAGAAGGGCGAAAAGTTCGAACAGGAGACCTTTAGCCCCTCTGTCTGCCATGCATAAGAATACTTCCTGTTTATTTGATAAGTGCTTATCATCTCGGAAGAAAAAGCCTTTGTAACTTCTATAATAGGGACTTAAGTCCTCTGTCACTACCCTTCCTATTGGGGATTATTTTCCACAGAAATGAATCAATATAGTGAACTAGTAAATACAAATAAATAACAACAATGGGTCAAATTTATACAAAATGGGTCGATCTATCTAATGTCTTATTAAACTTTCAAAATATTTGAGATTGTGCTTATTGCAAAAGACTTATATATAACTACGTATGAATTTACCAAAGTTTGGCTTGCTATTTAAAATGTCTGTAATAAAGAATCCATTTCCCCTATGAGAGACCAAAAGACCATTTGGCAGTGCTCACCTCCCAAAAACAACAGCCAGAGGTTGGATCTCCAAAAATTGCTTTAGTTCAAGGTATTTCTGCTCACATATATAGAAGATTGTGATAACATACAGGTACTTTCGGCCCTACTAAGAGAGTTGGGAAGTATACAAAACATGAAGGAGTTTTTAAATTAATTTATATGATGTAGTAAGCTCCCAGCTGTAGCGGTTTGTCATTAATTTTTAGCTAGCTTTTAGGCTTGAGTTCCCAATGCCCCAAGAAAATAGAATGAGAAACTTTCAATCAGGTAACCCTAGAGTCTGTAAATGGCAATGAAGGACATTTCCTCAGAAAAATCTTGGAAATTACCCATGTCGTACTTTTTATTAATCCACGTTGAACCTGAAGCCCAGAAACTAACTCCCCTTCCTTTCCCCTCTTCAAAATTCTCTATTACCAACTGTGCTGTGTTGAAGTTTATATGACAGGCCATTTCAACACTTTTGTTTAGTTAAATGGAAGTGCATCACTTTTAAAGAAAAGCCCGATTGCCAAAAAATATAAACAGTCCCAACTTTGATTAATATAAATATTTTAAAACCAGAACATTCTGTTACATCTTACAAAAACAATTCTGATGTAGCTGATGGGAAAGAAAAAGCACTTTCATACATTAGATGAATTCAACAAAATACAGCTGCAGAACCAAATTTTAAGTAAATATGAATTGTTAGTCTTTTTCAGTGGGCTCCAGTATTTACTTAAATGGAGATATTTTAGAACGCTGTATGTTTCATTAGGAAAAATAAGGGGGTTTTGATAGTTTTACTTCTGAAGTAGCCAATTTAAATTTCAAAATCTTCTAATTAAAAAAAAAGTCATTAAAATTATTTCTCCTGCCCAGGTTAGGATTATTTGTTATTTGCTAATAAGTCACTGGACAAGAGATGTGTGAAATGAATAGATGAAGAAAAACTTGACAGCAAAAGCGAGGTCTGGAAGGTGAAGTTAGTTTATTAGGCCCGGTTTGTCATGAATGGCCCTGCTCACATATAAAAGCAAATCCCTCTACCTTAGAAGATTAATTCTGAAGGAGGCACTCTTAGGTCAAAGTATACATAAGCGTGTGCCTAATCTCAGAGAAATCAGGCTATTTTCTCACAGCAATTAAGCAGAGGTCTGGGGTTTCACCCACAGTGTATTTAAACACAGGATACAATTAAACCCCAAAGTATTAATATCTTTGCTTTGCAAAATTGCCCAGGAAATAGATTTTGCCCTCTCTCAAATGAAAAGCAAGCCAAATTAAGAGAAAAACTTGATTCTTAGCTAAGTTGCTTGAAATAAGAAAGTCATATTCTCTTCTAATTGTAAATGTCTTCTAGACGTAAATAAAATTCTTATTTTGTCCCAGGGTAAGAGTTGTAAGCTTTCTAAATTCTTTCACCTAAATAGCCAATCTTAGGAGTTTGAAAGTATATTGTTTTCATACTGTAATTAAATTTATAACCATGTATGTTAAAAATCAATTGGGAGCTCACTATGTGCCACCAACAAAATATCATAAATGGGGAGCTTAGCAACCAGTGTGTAGTATAAAAAAGTAAATGTAAATTGTAAGCAATCAAGTGTTCAGAGAGATTGCTTTCCACAGAGGTTTTTCTTGGAGTTATTTTATTCATCTACTCATCTGAGGCAGAGAGCTAACCTTCTAGAGAAAATTATTGCCAGTTTAAAACCATACTTCACAAAGAAAAAGTAAAAGGCTAAATATGAAAGCAGCAAAGCAACTTTTATTTGTTGTACATCATATCTCTAAAGGCAAAAAATTCTTAATAGTACAAAAGTTATATTAAATAAACTCCCACTTTTGTTCAGTTCTTGAAAAAAAAAAAATAACCCTTCTGGTACTACAAGATTTTGCCCATATTTCAATTATTGTTACTTCTCTCTTGTCTACATATCAGATTAGCTTTCCATTTTTTTTGCCAAACCAAATTCGCTTTGGCTTTTTCAGGGGAGAGGGAAGTTGGTCTTGGAATAAAAAAGGATAAATCAATAGTTTTTTGTTTAGATAGCTGAATCAATAGTTCTTTTCTTTTATGTAGGAGTTTCTAGCAAGACAATTCTTGTTATACTGTACAACAGGACATCCAGTGAGAAATCCTATAACCCGTGACACATGAGCATGTTCTTATAAATTAATAAAGCTGAAAGAATGAAGCAAAATAGGATGTATTAGATATGGGAGGGTGCGTGGTGCTCCTGTGCACCTGTGGGTGGGGCTCACGCTGGCTGATGTGTTCTCCCTTCTAGCACTCCATTGTTGCTTTTAAGAGAAGCCAAGTACTTAGGATAAAGAGCATAATTTCATGTGTCTTTGTAACCACGCTATAAGTAGTTGAGATGCTTTCTTGATGTGTGGCAGGCTAGGTGAGAAAGTATGCAATCTGAATTTTACAAAGAATTGTTTTAACAGGACCAGTGACTTTAATAGTACTTCTTGCTGACATCACTGGCAAATTGGTCTACTCTGTAACCTTTAAAAGTGCAGCATATCCCAAAATGAGTTACTTATTAAACAAATGTTCTTTTTTTTGAGTGCAACTGACCTTTAAATGATTATTTCTCAGCACTTGCAACAAAGAGAATCTCACCTATCACCTTTATACTTTTGATGCGCTACAGTGAGTAGATCCATAACCTTTTCACAACATGTAGGGAACCTGCTACATACACAACATGGAATTACAAACGATAATGAGCACTATCTCTTTTAAGGGGAAGTCTTATTACTTTATTAAAATGTTGCAATACACAAAAAGGCATGCAAACGTATAAAAGTAAATCTCTATTTTGATCTATCTATAACCATTTTAGAAAATACAACCCCAGAGTACCAGAGTAATTCACTGCTAGTGATAGTTTCCACTGAAGCTTTCTCCCCTTAACTTCAGAAGTGTGTATGTGTGTTTTCCTGTGAGTGTGGGTGTGATTTAGATACTGTATTTGATTGAAATATCATTGTCTTTATGTTCAGGAGTTTATTTGTTATTTGCAGGCAAGTTGACCTAAACCTCCACACACCCAGCCTGGTACCCCTTTCAGCTACCTTGAAGAAAACGCTTTTAAAACTGCAGAAGTACTGGTTAAATTCATATTTTTAAAGAGATATTGAGATTGTGCTTTCCTCAGAAACAGACACCTTTGAAAAGATGTAATGAATATAATCAAGTCGTGGTTATTCTTAATTAAGTAGAGATGCTAATTATAAACTTTGTTCTCCAGGAATCGAATCAAATCTGGCATGTATTTAGAAAAGCTAATGCTTTGTGGATCTCTTTACATTAGTAAAGAGATCCACATTACTTCAAGTCCCAGTGGTCTTTTTGTGAGCAGATAACCTAGTTTACACTTTCATAGAGCTGTGGAATCTTATAGAGAATTCATTAGCCTAAATATTTCTCCTCTAAAGTAAAGCAATATTGCAATCTTGATAAACTCCAAGAAGTATTTTTTTTTCATATGAAGGATTCAGATACTCTAATTGAGCTAGTAGTCCATACTTTAGACATTTTGTTGTGATCTTAAAACACAAATACCTACTCAAGACTTAACTTCTTGCAAAACTGACATTATTTATAAAATACTGCTTTAGATTCTTATATTTTTAAAATATCCACTCTCTATCAAATAAAAAGGCATTTTCACTATTGTTTTCTCATTTTCCTCTTTTCCCATGTGGGATAAATTTTTTATGAAATAATGAAAATGAGCTAATTTCAAATAACATTCACTTACAGTTTTCTTTTCGGCTCTGAGTTGGTAATAGTTTGTAAAATGTGAGGGACAGCCACGAAGCTTCATCAGAGAAATCAGAATTAATGTCCTTTGGGAAAATTGGGCTCTAAAAGAAAAAAAAAAGATGTAATAGCAGAGATATAACTTA